AGGCCCAGAAATCAGGATTTTAAAAAGATTCCCAGGTGATTCTAATGTGCAGCCAAGGTTGAGAACCACTGCTATAGGAGTATAGAGGATAAAACTTGTCATCTTTAAATAGAAAACACCTGGAAATGTCTGGCATTACCTCTCATGGTGGCATGAGAGAACACCATATTACATATGACTAAATAAAGAACATGTATATTTAGAAAGTGAATTGTATTAAATTCCTTTAATTTCAGCAATCATTCCGTCCAAGATTCCTTGGTGTGGCTGAACAATTACACAATGAAGGTTTCAAGGTATGTAAATTTTTTACAAGTTGTTTTCTGTCAGCATTGAACTCTCCACAAAAGAAATATTGAAACATCTTAGAGAATTAAATAGATCAAAATATATCCTAACTTAATAGTTTCATATCTTCAGTGGAATCAAATAATTAGAAAGACTAGTTTTACCTTTAAAAAATGTATTTTTATTGATTTCAGAGAGGGAGAGAGAGAAACATCAATGGTATGCCCCCTATTGGGGATCGAGCTTACAACCCAGGCATATCCCCTGCTATTGATTTCAGAGAGGGAGAGAGAGAAACATTAATGGTATGCCCCCTATTGGGGATCGAGCCTACAACCCAGGCATATCCCCTGCCTGGGAATCAAAACATGACCTCCTGGTTCATAGGTTGACTGGGCTAGTTTTAAGGTTTAGTACATTTATCACAAATGTAGAAAGTTTAGCTTATACAGAATTGGGACGCAGTTCCAATGCATTTCCATATATTTCCTCTTTTTCATTTAGCTGTTCCCATTTGTAGTCGTAATTTCCAGCTGTTACAGTTATAGGCAAAACTTCTTGCTGTAGTAGTGTCAACAATAAACATAAAGGAAAAAAACCTTCTTTGCTTGAATACATTTACACAAAGCCTGGTTTAGTTATTCAATTTTTTATCACAGCAAATAATGCAGAAATATTTGAAGTGCCCATGACTCCGGGCAGTGAGTCTAAATCTGTATTCATGGGATCATATTGCTTCTCATATTCATCAGTTTCTTCTCCTTTATGTTCCAAGTGACACGTGTGTCCCAGCAGGCTTTTTTGCTTCCTGAAAGCCTTTCTTGTGATCCAGTAACTGACTTTTCCATTTTAATCACAGCTCTTTGCCACAGAAGCCACGTCAGACTGGCTCAATGCCAACAATGTCCCTGCCACCCCAGTGGCCTGGCCGTCTCAGGAAGGACAGAATCCCAGCCTCTCTTCCATCAGAAAGTAAGAACTGGGCAGAATTGTCTGAGATAAGGAAACAGATAGAGGATCAACTTTGGGAACCAGTGTGTTAGGAATACTTCATCTTACCCCCGTGCAAGTCTTCTATACGTCCTCTTGGGCAACCAATTTCAAATGAGTGAATTTGTGGATGATAGTAAAGTTTCATTCTTGTGAACTCTGCTATCACTATGAACACATAATGCCATATGTGTACATGGTGATACGTAGCATCTTCAAAATAGTTCCTAGTAAGGGTGCTTTCCTTGACAGACACTGATGTCTCAAGTGATGAGAATCATGGGCATGAAGACTGTAACACAGAACTTTATCTTTCACGTCAAACTTATATTATGTATATGTGTGTATGTCAAGTACAAGTTTGACCAGCTGTCTTTCACTGAGGTTATGCTTCAATGACTCAGTCAGCTGCTTGAGCACTTGCCACATGTAGAAGACTCAGATGAGAGCTATGATAATGTCAGTCATTGGATTACTTAGTTTGCTATTCTTTGATCAGGTGGGTGTCTATGCCTTAGGCTAGATTTCTAAGACATACTAATTCAGCACGCTGTGTGAGCCTTCCAGAACACCATTACATAAACACAGAACTATGTGGCATAGGCACATAGGAGATAATTCTCAGGGATATTACACCTCATTGAATGGCTAAATCACACCAAATCTATGCACTATACTATTTGTTAGAGCTCCTAAGAAGGTAGCTATAAATCATTATCGAATTAATAAAAGGGCAAATTTTTCAGACCTTAGTTAGACTTCCAGTGATGTTATAAGCTCTCGCTTAGAGCTTTGTAAAACAATAATTAGCATTACTTCATGCCTTTGACATTTAAATGTCTCCTTTGTGTGTAGCAGCCCAGCAAGAGAATGTGAAATGGTTTGACTCAGAATCAGGTGACATGCATTCTCATACCATCACCGGAGAGGCAGGGGGATGCAGGCATGGAAGTAAAGTTAATCTGGGAGTGGAAATATGGGGTGGGGTGGACTTCAACTCTGGGGAATCACCTCCTTGTAAAATAATTAAATACCTGTCAAATTACCAATTCTTACTATGGATAGATAGCATTTTAAAGAGAAAACCAACCTTTCCATTCATTTTGTTAGACTTTAACCAGAATTCTTTC